TACTGATGGTCCCCTACTGGATTCCTGGCCCTGTGCTGGGCATGGGATACTGCAGCCTGTCACTCAGTGGATCTGATAGAGGAGGTGGTACCTCATCTCTCCTCTGCAGGGCAAGTAGAAAACAGCTAGAGGGGGAGGAGAGGGGGTCAACATGGTAAAATCCCACAGGTAGGGGACAACTGGGAGTCCAGGGAACTACAGTAGTCTACATGGCTGGGGTAAGAAGTCCACATGGGGGACTGGGCAGGAGCACAGCCAGAGAGGGGTCGGGGAAGATCGTAAAGGGCCTTGAATGCTATGCTAACAAGTGGAAGTTTTTAATTTTTTTTTTTTCTTAAGAGAATCATACTTTGTCACCTCAGCTAGAGTGCCATGGATCAGCCTAGTTCACAGCAACCTCAGTTTCTTGGGCTCAAGTGATCCTTTTGCCTCAGCCCCCAGAGTAGCTGGGACTATAGGCACCTACCATGATGCTCAGCTACTCTCTTCCTTCCTTCCTTCCTTCTTTCCATCCTTCTTTCCTTCCTTCCCTTCCCTTCCTTTCCCCTTCCTTCCTACTTTCTTTCTTTCTTTTTTTCTTTCTTTCTTGTAGAGATGGGGTCTAACTCTTGCTCAGGCTTGTCTTCAACTCCTGAGCTCAAGCAATCCACCCACTTAGGCCTCCCAGAATGCTAGGATTACAGGCATGAGCCACCCACCTGGCCAACACATGGAACTTTCTACAGAAAGCCATGGGAGAATCTTGAAGTTTTAGGCTGGGTTGAGAAAAGGGTAACATGTGTGGGCTGGGCTCTGGGTTAAGAAAAGGATAATGAGTGTCACCAGATATTATAAAGACTTGGCTATACAGTTTGGGGAATGGATTGGAATCCATGAGACCAAAGATGAGGAAACCAGGTAGCAAGTTATTAAGAGGCTGGAACTGAGGCTGGGGGAATGGAGAGGAAGGACAATGTACCCCAAAGATATCCAGAAGGTGAAATCTACAAGAGGTGCTGTATCAGTTGACTATTGCCAGAAAATGCTGCATATTCCAAACTCAGTGACTTAAAACAGCAATCATTTATTCTTACAGCTCTCTAGATCAGCTGAGAGTTGGTTGATCTTGGCTGGGCTCTGCTGGGTGGCTTTGCGGGGCTGAGCTAGACTTGCTTATGCATCTGTGTTGGCTTATCTCACTCAGCTGGGTTTGATTAGGATGGTTTGGCCCTGTTCTGTATATCCCTTATCCTCTCCTAGGACCACTGGGCCAATCCAGGTATATTCTTCTTATGGCAACAGGGGCAGAGGCAAGAGAACAAGCCCAAACAGGCAAGCCCTTTGCTGGTCTTTAGTTATATCATACCCACCAATATTCCAATGGTCAGGTCCTGCAGCTAAACTTCAGGTGACAGGGAAGGAGCTGTATTCCACCTTTTTAGAGGAAGAACTGCTAAGTCACCTGATAGAGGGCATGGATACAGGGAGGGGTGAAGAATTGGGGCCATTCATGTAATTTCTTGTACCAGATGAGGGATTGGAATAAGAAAGCAGAGACAAAGGGAGATTATGAGGGGGGTTTTGGCCAAGAATGAGATGCATATCAGCCCAACTGCTGAAAAGCTTGAGCACACCACAGCTGTCCTCACTGATGTCCACACCACAGCTGTCCTCAGTTAGGTCCAAGCCCTTTGAGAATTAAGCCTGAAACTAAGGTCCTCTCAGATGTAGTGTCTAGACAGTCTGCTCAGGAAGTTCTGGGGACAGAGCCTCCTACTCCAGTCTCTGCTGCCCATCTAGATTTCCCTGGGCCTCTCTGCCAGCCCTGCCCTGAGCCCCTAATTTGCATCACTGGGTCACTCATGCTCCCTTCTCACTCAGACTGTGTTGATTACACACTCGGGAGACTTGTTTTCCTCCATCTGGGGCAGAAACAGCCACGCAACTGCTTCCAATCCTGCAAACAAAGGCGTGGGTGGGAAAAGGTGTGTGTTGGGGAGGAATCTACCGCTTCTGTTCTCCCCTCTTCCGCTCTGCACCCGCCTCCTCTTCTCTTGCTGCCTCTCCAGACCATTCATCTTGATTTCTCCAACCGTAGAACAAACGGAGGAGGAGATTTAACTGCTCCAGAGGGCAACCCTGGGAGGAAGGAAGGAAGGAAGCAAGCAGAAATGGTCTGTACCTTGGCTGGCCTGGCTAGGTGACCTAGGGAAAGGCATTACCCCTTTCTGGCTCTCAATTGTCACACCTCTAAAACAGTCACCTTAGTCTAGGGCATTGTTCACGTGTATGTTAATAAACACTCTAATGATGCTTCCTAACAGCCTTGCTGTCTTAAGTGCTTTGCAAATATTAATTCATTTAATGATCATAACAATACTCACAGCTCGGGAGTGATGGGATCAGGGTTTGAATCCAAGCAGTCTGCATCAGAGTCCACATTTAACTACCACATTATGCTGCAACTTGCTTTCCTACCATCTCTGAATTTCTAAAAGTCCAGTGGCCTGGCCTCCCGGAGTCATGCCCGTCCTTTATTTCCTCTGCATGGGTGTTTTGGGTTGAATAGTGTCCTCTCAAAAGATATGTTCAAGGCCTAACCCCAGTATCAGTGAATGCGGTCTTACTTGGAAATAGGGTCTTTGCAGAGGTGATTAATTTAATGTAAGGTCACACTTAATCCAGTGTCTTGATAAGAGAAAGAAAGAAAAGGAGACTGAGAGATAGACTCACAAAGGGAAGACGGTTAAGTGAAAATGGAGGCAGAAATAGGAGTGTCGTGGTGACCATGGGATGGCAGGGATTGGCGGCCACCACCAGCAGGAGGGGTCAAGGAATGATTCACCTGTAGAATGGTCAGAGGGAGCTGGCTCCATCAACAGCCTGATTTCAGACTTCTAGCTTCTAGAATTGTGAGAGAATAGAGTCTGCTGTCTTAACCCAGTGTTACCTAGTATATGGTAATTTGGTACAGCAGGCCCAGGCAATGAAGACAATGGGTTAAGGGAATCTTGGAGCCCTCAAGGGGAGGCAGTTGTGGGAAGTCCCTCCAATCGAGCTGCCTTCTCTATCCACCCAGTCCAGAGCTCAGATTTTCTGTCACCTGCCACCTCTCGTGTCCTCTGCATGGCCTTGCATCCACTCGACTAGGCTGGCATTCTTGGTTTTCACACCCAGAAAACAGGGACCTGTGTGCCTTTTCCCAAGTTCCTAGAAGTCTATGTCCTGCTCATCATCCCTGGCCACAAGCAGGAGCCCAAGGCCTGGCTCCCTGTGGGCAACTGTCAGTATTGAATGGAAGTGAAATTTGCCTTATACCTTGGTTAGTCTTCATGTGACAAGTCCCCAAACCAGGACTTTCTGTTCAGTCTCTGACAGTAGTTTTGCTTTTCTGTGGAGGCTGGTCTAATACTCAGCAGGTGTTCAGAGGTCATCTAGGTAAAGCAGCCACGCCTGAGACATTCGTGCGCCTGTGTCCAGCTCCCCTCCTGTACACCCCTCTATGCCCTCTCCCCTACAGTCCCCCCAATCCATCCCTCCACACTGTCTTCCAGGGCGTTTCCACTGGGGTCTCCCATCCAGCCAACGCCTGCAGAGATGGCAATGACCTGGGGCTTCAGGGAGCAGGTTTAATGATGGTTGGGAAGACCTTAACCTTTTTAGGGATCCTGAGGTATGACTCCCTAATGGTGGAATCATTGACCATGGAGGCCCAGATAAGATCACATGCCACCTGCTACCCATACCAGAGTTCTGTGGCTTCACGAGGCACTTCTACTCCCTCAACCAGTGCATCCACCCGCCACCCCTGTGCCACCCTCACACTCCACTCTCCTTAGGCAGAGTCCAGAGGAGGGTCAGGTCATGGCCCTGGATGTGGCCTGGTGAGTAGTGAGGGAGGTGGGGTGGAGAGATGGAGTCAAACAGACCAGGACTCCAATTTTGGTCCTTCCACTTGCTGTGTGGCCTTGGGCAAGTCTCTTCACCTCTCTGAGCTCATTTTTGACTTGACCATAGGATCCACCTCCTGGTATTTGGTGCAGAACAAGTGAGAATGAGCTTCTCCCAGGCCTGTGTGCAGCAAGGGCACACAGTGACAGCCAGGGAGACATAGTGGAACGTTTCCAGCCTTGAACTCTGACAGGTATAAGTTTGAGTCCCTGGTCTGTCTTTTCCTAGCTGCGTGCCTTGGGTAAGTAACTCCACCTCTCTGAACCACAATTTCTCTATAAAAGTAAGATAAAACCCCTCTTATTGGTTTTTTTAAAAAGTAAGAATTAGATGAGCTGTGTAGGTGTGTGATTAATAGATCCATCCTGTCCCTTCTCACCTTTGAACCTTTAACTCTAGTCTCCAAATTCAGGCTTTGCAGCCCCACCTGGCTGGCCACTTGGCTTTCAGATCTACTTGTCCTTGGTCACGACAAGTCCCTGGCTCTCTGGGTTGCCCAACTTCACAACCCAAAGCCCAGACAGACCTCCAGTCTGAGGCCTCCAGGGGCTGCCCCTAAATGCCTAGAGATTTCCCTGTGGTTTTGGCATGGCCAGGGACAGCAAGTGATGGCTGAGGACTCAAGGCTGGACAGCCATGGCCAAAGGCTTTAGCAGATAACCTGCTCATGACCGTGGTAACCAAAGTCATCTGCTTGCTGCATCATGGCCTCTTGGGGGTTGGGGGGATGGATTGACAGTTTGTATCACTTGACTCAAAAATGGGTTTGCAGGGGGGCAGGGGGATGTAGAACAGCCAGCCCCATTCTGGTCCCAGGCAGGAGTCACCTGGAGACAGCTTCATTCCCCAGGGAGGGGCTGCCTTCGGGCCTGTTCCTTCAGCCCCAGCAGGAATTAGCAGAGGCTGCTAAGTGGCCTCAGCTTTCTCCCATGCTCTGGAGAAAGGGGGAGGGAAGGGCGAGGGGTGGGGAGGCAGCACCAGCCATCGGTGTGTGCGCGCATGGGGTGATTGTCATGGTTACGCTCTGACAAAACAAATGGCTCTGCTTCCTGCAGGCCACCTAAACAGCCATCGCAATGTGGGCATTGATCACACCGGCTGCTGGGGGAGTGGGTGCTGGGCTTGGGCACTGGAGTCCAGCCCCGGCCACCCCCTCCAGCGGCCCTGGGTGCAGGGAAGCAGCCGTTGCGCTGTGCACAGAGGGAGTGTTTGCCCAGACACATGTTGCTTCTGGGGCAAGGTAAGGAAGGGCTCCTGTGAGGAGGAGAGACTAGACGGCGAGTGTGCGTACGTGTGAGTTCGTGCACCTGTGTGTGAAAGTGTGTGTCAGCGTGTGTACACTGCGTGCTCCACCTTGGGGAGGGCTCGGGACGCTCCAGCATAAGAAGAGAGAGGACCGACCACATGTTGCTGCTCAGCTCCGGTCCCCCCCCCCTCTCTCACTTACTCCCCTCCCCCCATATCCTCTCTCGCCTCTCTCTCTCCCTCTCGCTGGCTTGCCCTCCATGTGTATATTCTCTGTGTGACTCTCTGTGCCTCCTTCCTTCTCCCCCTCTCAGCCGCCCATCACTGCTGCCTGTTTCCACCATCTCCCCAGCTCCTGTCATCCCCTGTCTGTCCTCCCGGGCCCTGGGGCAGTCGGGAGCTCTGCAGGCTGCCCAACCTGGATGGCCGGCTCCTGCCTGCTGCCCTCCAGGTGCCCGGTGGAGTGTGACTGTCCCCCAAACCACTGGCTGAGCACACACCCTTCTCTGAGCCCCCCGGGCTCCTGCAAGGTAAGGGGGCTCTGGGAAAACGGGTTCTCCAGCAGTGGGAGGTGTCGTCGGAGGCGGGGGCGGGGGGTGCAGCATGACGCCTGCAGACACATCAGGTTCCCCCCACACACACACTGGAAGTCCCGTCATAACATCTTCTGCGGCAGCCCCAACAGTTCCCACCGGAGGCCCAGGGGTGGGGGCAGAGCTGCCTCCTCCTCTCCCCCTCTGAGGAGCAACAGGCACCTTCCTGCCTCTGGACTTGTTCTATTTTCTTTCTTTTCTCTTCTTTCTCTTCCTTTCTTCCTTTTTTCCTTCCTTCCTTCGTTTCTCTGTCTCTCTCTCCCTCTCTGCCTCTCTCTCTTCCTTTCCCTCTCTCTTTCCTTCTCTTTTTAAGACTTAGCGGCAAAGTGCTCACTCTTCCTCTCCTCCACTGGGACATAAGCCTGATCCCTGAGTTCACCTGTCTGAGCCCAGCCAGGCAACGGGAACTGGGTAGAGAAGCTCAAAGGGCGCTGGACGAGCTGCAGTCCTGATCCGGGGGAGGCCAGGAGGGCGTGAGGTTCCGTGATCAGCTGAGCCGGGCGGTGGCGGGCCAGGCACATGTGCACATGTGTGTGATGTGTGTATTCACATGTGTGCATGTGCTTAGAGGTGTATAGGGGCGTGTGTGTGTGCAGAGGATTGTCCCTGGAGGGCAGTGACGTGTATGCAGTGAGCCACATGAGTGGGGGGGGGCTGTGTGTCTATAAAGTGTCTACATGGTTAGGGTGCATTTGGGGGTGGGGGCTGTGTCTCGACGTGTGTGTATGTGTGCACATGTGTGTGTACATGCAGGAGCCCAGGCCTGGAGGAGCTGCTGCCCCAGGGCCCCTGCAGAGGATTGTGGGTTGAACCTGACCCAGACGTTGCTGGCAGCATCCCTGCAGTGCCCTCTTCACCCAGCCCTGGTTAGTGCCCATCTCCAACCCAGGCCTATACCCTAGCGATGGTCCAGGGCCCCAGGTGGCTGGTCACCGTGCCCTGGTGCGTGGCCTGCAGACTCCACTGCATTTCTGGCCTGAGATGGGCTAAGGCTCCTGACCTGGGGTTGGTTCTGGCCCGGCACATCCTCCCTGGCCTGAGTTAGGAAGCTCAGGGTCTGCAGCCCCACAGACAAGTGTGCAGACCAGCCTCAGATGTGGGCTATCAGCCATTGGGCTATAAAGTTGTCCTGACATGGGGAAGAGGTGGGAGGCAGGGAACCCCACCCAGGGCGATGACACTGGGATGCCCACTCAGACCCCCACCCCCACCCGGCCCAGTGGGAGGAAGCAGCGTCTCCACCACCTCCTTCTCCCTCACTGCGGCTGTGCTCTGCTCTGCTCTGCACCTTCGCTGGCCGCTCCTTAGCAGATAAATGATGCTGCTGCTGCTAATGGTTCTGTGGGAGGCCAGCTCTGCAGAGCAAAGAGGCAGCCCTGGGGAGGGCAGGGCCGGCAGAGGTAGCCAGGGCACCCATGCAGCAGATCCTCAGGGCTCCTGCTCAGGCTCCAGTTTTTCTCTCTGCCAAGTGCCTGGGTGTCCTCAGCACCCCTGCCTGCTTTCCTCCAATGACCTGACCTCATGGCTGTGCAGACTGTGTTTCTGGTGGTCTCACAGTCATCCCCACTTTAGCCAGACTGGGAAGGGGAAGGGGCTGGGGCTGGGCCAAGCAGAGGGTCACCATAAACAAGAAGTTGACAGACACTCCAGGGGGATTAGGAACTGCCCAGTGGAATCAGGGGACTGTGCTTGGCTCCAGGTTCCCAGAGGTGCCCAAGCCCTTTCATCCCATCAACCCCACTTGGTTCTCCCTCCTGAGAGCCCACCTGGAGCCCACCTGTCTCCCACCCGCTATGGGCCCACAACCTCCTGGGCCCCTAGATTCCTGAGGGAAGGAGATTGGGATGGGGGTGTTCAGAGAGCTAGAATGGGGATTTGCGGAAGCAATGGATGCCTCTGGATCTACAGGTGACATACAGGATCAGGGAAGGGGTTTCCATGTGGCTGGGCTGTGCATGCAGTCAGGGCTGGGATGGGCAGGAGGCCGAGGTCAACTTTTATCAAGTAAGTCAGTTTGAATGAACAGAGAAACCAGGGCAGGGACAGGGAAAGGGGTGAAAACCATTTGGTCACTGGGTGCCCACCTGATGCCAGGGGCTGTGCTAAGCTGTGTGTTGGGTCTCTGCCCTCAAGAAGCTGCAATCTCAAGTGAAGAGACAGAAATCAATTACCCAGTCTTATGCAAAATAGCACCCAGGAGAGGAGCTCTTAGGTTTGAGATCTCTCTGAGTTGGCCAATAGGAGTACACCAAGGGGGATGTAGATGGGTCTATAGCACAAGGCCAGGGAAGGTCAGAGATACACATTTATTTTTGGATTTTTTTGTTTATTTGTTTTTGGTTTTTGAGACAGAGTCATACTCTGTCATTCTGTGTAGAGTGCTATGACATCTTAACTCACAGCAACCTCAAACTCTTGGGCTCAAGTGATCCTCTTGCCTCTGCCTCCCAAGTAGCTGGGACTACTGGTACACACCACCATGCCCAGTTAGTTTTTTTCTGTTTTTAGTAGCGATGGGGCCTCGCTCTTACTCAGGCTGGTCTCAAACTCCTGACCTAAATTAACTCACCTGCCTCGGCCTCCCAGAGTGCTGGGAATACAGGTATGAGCCACCACCCCTGGCCAGACGTAGACATCTGTGAGTCCACGGCTCATGCATAGGAGCAGGACAGGGCCAGCTACTGGTCCTGGGAGTTAGGGCAGAGAGTTAGCAGAAGAGGAAGACCTGGGGTTGAACCCGATGAACTTTTGCCTCCCATGTCTGATCACTTGCTTCCTTGCAGTCTTGTCCTGGGGATGAGCCTGCAAAAGCAGCAGAGAAGGGGAAAGGAGGGGAAGCTGGACGAGGAGAGGTGGGCCAGTGCCTGGGGTCTTCCCTGCCTGTGTCACTCCCCTAGTGGGTGCCTTGCCCGTGCGGTTTTATTTAACCTCCACTTTACAGATGATGAAACCAAGTCTTGAGAGTACAAAGAGCTAGATTTAAAGTCACAGCATATGACAGGAGCCATGCCACCAGAAATGAAGTTAGAGATGTTAGCAGGCTCCACACACAATTCCTGAGAATGTGTGACTGAAATGAGTAGAGTCTTTGTGCCACCGTCTAGAAGAGATTCCACAGGTGGTGGCTCTGCTATTGTGGCAGAGCATAGCTGACTGAGTAAAACTGTGTCCTGGGGGTCTTGGAGGAGGGAGCCCCAGGTAAGGGAGCCAGGAGGGGCTTCATGGAGGGAAGTGGGACTTGAAAGGACCTGAAAGGAGGTTTAGAAAGGCAGAGAGGGGGTCACAGGGCCTGGGGCTGAGGGAAGAACGTAAGCAGGGGTGCATAGGGAGGGCACGCAGGGGTCCGAGACGGAGCGCGTGTTCCAGATTGTCCGGGACACGGGGAAAGAGATAAAGAGCAATGTAAGATCGGGCTGCCAAGGGGATCGGGGCGTGATCCCCAGGCAGCTGAACTCACCCTGAATGAGTCAGGCTCGGTTATAAGGCTATGGACCGTCCTGGAACAGGGAAGCACTGTGGTCATATCGGGACCTCAGGAAGACAATTCAATGAGCCTGAGGAATTGAAATTTCATCTCTTGAATCCTCACTGGGGTCTGGAGGGACCCTGAGCAGTCTCCTGATCCTTAAAATGTGGATGATAATCTTTATTCTGCCCCTGTTTGTAGAGCTCTAATTAATTCATGGGTGTGAAAGGGCTTTGATTGTAAATTGCTCTGTATGAGGGATAGAAACTCATTGTTACTTTTATGACTCAGTAGTGGATTGAAAGAGTAAATTGCTCAGGGGCTAGAACCCTCTCTCCACTTTTAATTCCATCACTTTCAATCCTTTGAACCCTTAAAACTTTTCTAAGATATCCCACTTCTAAGAGATTCCTCAGGAGCCCACTGGGACGTCCAGCCTGGGCCAGCTCTGCTCCCTCATTCTATGTCCCCCTGGAGGAAGGACGCTCACCTGGAAAATCAACTAGGCCACATCATGTGCCCAGCACTTCACACATGTCACGGCGTTTCACTGCAATGATGCCATGAGGCGAGCTCCACTCCTGTGCCCTTTTTATAGATCAGAAGATGGAGCCCAGACAGGTGAAGTAGCTTGCCTATGTCACCCCATGGTACAAGTCAGAGCCTGGCTCATGTTTTAATTCTCTTGGGACCCCAGAACCCAAACTGTTGATGTTCAGGCTGCCTGACCAGGGGCCTCTGCCGCTGGCCTCCTCACTCCACTTCCTTGTCCCTGGTTGTCACCACTCCTGACAACCCCATTTTATGCCCAGGACTCTCAAAAAGAGGCCTTTTCTCTTGCGTCTAGAGATATGGGTTTTGCTGTGGCATAGTCGTAGATGCAGAGGCACTGGAGTGGACTGCCAAGGGTCCATTCCCCAACCCATCACTTACTAA